TTGTTGAATCTGACGTGACATGTTCGTACGAACCCTTTGTGCGAACAAAAGTAAGAGAAATTTAGGAGAAGAATACGAACATGTTCTTGCATGAGGCCCATTGAATKTTGATTYTGCACATCTGTTGAYRCTGTAATATTTTTTTAGCCACTTCATTAGAAAACAGAACTGAATATTAGTTTCTTCATCATCAGCGGCTTTTTTTWAAAAATTGTAATAAAGAAGAAAAAGAAAGAAAAGAGAAAGGAGAAATGTAATGAGAAAGGTTGAAAGAAAGATTGGAAGATATGTGAAATATACACCAAGAAAACACAAGACAACACATCTGACATCTGTCTGCACACCTGCAAAAACGGGGAAAACAAAAACACAACAACGAAATAACTTTTGACAAACAGCAGCTCTGGAGATCCTCTGCAGATCCTCACAGACTTCTGTCTAAACCGTACAGTGACACACAAACTCACCACCAGTCCTTGTAAAACTGTCTGTCTCCAAAGCGCAGCAGCTCAGCTGTGAAATTCATGGACGAGTGGAAAAAGGAGTAGAAAAACATCAGCCACAGCAGGTGGTTGGGAACCTGAGAAGAAAAGTAAAAAACAGTGACATCAACAAGAAGGCAGCAGTCCACTTTAGTTTTAACCCCCTCAAGTTAGCTTATTAATCAGAATTAAACTGAATTTCTGTAAACTGAGGTTGTTCAAAGAGCTATACTCAACAGGTAAAATATTAATTGTTCATAAGTTCTCCACAGAACCCCACTTTTAATAATTGGAACGATCTAGTTCAAGCTGTTTTTTGTTTAAACTTACAGCTAATCGTAAGAGTCTCTCTGTCATCCTGGACAGATCCATGTCCTGGTAAGGAAAATAAATCCATTAAAACATAATTTTACATCATCTTCATGAGCATCWGTGTTGTTTTGACTTCTTACTTCTAGTGGTTTCATGGAGCTTTGAATGATGGGAATCATCCACTGAAAAACAGAAAAGAAAAAATCTGTGATAAGCCACTGATCAAATGTCTGCTGAAGTAATAAACTGAAATGATCTAGACGCATTTTCAAAAACAATTAACAGAGGAATACATTCAAGGAAGTTATAAAGTAGAAATATTTATTTTTTTAGTAAATTCAAAATGGATGCAAATAATGAAATGCTTTATCTGACTGTACCTGTTGGGTGAGACCAACTAAAAGC